TTGAGGGTTTTTAGATGTTGTGCATGCAAACAAAAAAAGGCGAAGAGGAAATGGAAGCACCATTGCTGCAAGAGGAAGAAAGAGAGACTGTCGTTTGGGGTGAGGTAGTAGGTTGTATAGTTTGAGGGTTTAACCCTTGCTGTCAGATAACTATACAACTTACTGTCTTTCCCGAAGTGGCCGTAGTGTCATCGCTCCACAACAGGAAGGACGTAAGCATAAAGCAATGACATATTCTAGCATTATTGTGTGCAATGTTTTATGCTTGATGAAGGATTATAATAAATGTAATAATAAATGTATTAAAAATATGGCAAATTATCAACTTCACCAACTTACATAACATTTTTTTTTTGCATCATAATCTGTTTTTATCTGCTTTAAAAAATTGTATATATATATATATATATATATATATATATATATATATATATATATATATTTACACTTCCACAATTTAAAATGGTTTTAAATTGTATTGAATTTATAAATTCATGGCAATAAATATTGTATGCACTGCATAAAATTAAATATATTTTAATATATCTGTAAAATAATCCATCTATTTATTTTCTATTTTCATTGCTGTCTGTTTTTGGAGATGGAACATTATATACTTGTTCACTGAGAAATTTAACAAAATTAAGTTTAGGAGTTTATTTATTTTAATGCATTAATCAAATACTGGGTATCTCAATATGGTATGAAATGTACCTTTTCCATAAAGAATATCTAAAAATATTGACATTGAAAACAATACCTCTTATCATTTTACTTCTAAATTCGATCTTGGTTTAAGCTGCATTACATTAGACATTTGCAGTGGAACAAGACAAAAAATAAGAGCATGAAGCTGAGCAAAGCATTTTTTTTTCTTCAATTTTAACACAATGTGTTCTAGCCAATAACCTTCAGCTAAATCACAGTCACAACTGATTTGCATGAACATTTTTGAGTTTTGGATTCTACAAAACCTAATTGTTCAAAGTTGCCAGGAGCTAATTAGTACATTGACAGTTACAATACTGCAGATTTCAACATTTGTGAAAAGAATTCTATAAAAAGTGGCTGTCGTGGTATTGTGGATTATTGAACAGTGGTGTTCGGACAGGGTGAGGTAGTAGGTTGTGTGGTTTCAGGGTTGTGTTTTTGCCCCATCAGGAGTTAACTATACAACCTACTGCCTTCCCTGAAGGGCAGCAAAACATCTCCAAACAAAGTTCACATACATATTCCTTGTAGGATTTTAATTATGATGAGCCATTTAAAGTTGCATGAACCTTACATAAAGCACAGGTGTGTATACATTAAATCAGAATAAAAGTTAATAAAACCAAATATTTCAAAGATTGCCTGCTTTTTTCTTTTCTGAAGTTTGATAGCAGCAAAGATCAAATGTCAAGGTAATTTTATATTTTACTATAATTTCTAACGTGTTGCTAAATCTGTTTTAAGTCTCTCTTTTTTTTGAGTCTCTCTTCTGACATAAAATGTGCATATTTGAATAGTATCCACAGCCAGTGCAATGAAATGACTTGTAGGACTGTAATTATGATACTTTAATTGTGCTTTTGCATTGTGTTTGAGGCTCACAAAAGCTCCAGTCCCCATTTACCTTTATTAAAATGGTCATTATCTTCCACTTTTCTGATATTGTTATCTATAGAAGAGACAGACAAAAGGATTCAGAAGCACTCAATGGTGAATGGACAGAAATGTAATTTTTGGGTAACTTATTGCAGAATTTAAAGCCTTAAAATGTCTTAAATCACAGAAGAAGGTTTTAAAAGTAATTGATTAATGTTCATTATTGTTACTTGTGCTGTAAAAAGTGAAAGTCTTGTTCAATATTTTAATACACATTAATATGTGCATGGTTTCTGGGAGGCTGAAAAAGATCTGTGACTTTAGACAAATATCTGTCTGAAAATGTCTTCATATTATGATGTTTGAATACATTTGATTTTTCTAAACCCATGCGAGGAAATTTCTGTTCATCTTTAAATCTTAAATTTGCACACTTTTCTGTCAATTCTGAAAAAAAAAACTTTGTATCTCCTCCCATTATCGTTTCATAAATGACTATTTTGATTTATAAATCTTTAGATAGAATAAAACAACAAGACATAACATACTAAAAGCATTTTTAAAAGTTTTTAGTAACACAATTAATTTATTAACTTTTGTAAAATGAATTATAAACAGATTGCGTGTTCCATTTAAAAACTACACTTAAATATTAACATATTATTTTTTCATCAAATTATCGATTAAACCTTAAAAATGACTTAATGAAAGCCCTAAATTTACCTCCAATGTTGGGGAAAGTTCATCTTGAAAGTAAAGCATTACAATATTGAGGTACTCCCAAAAAATAACTAGTTGTGTCACTTGATTACTTTTTATGGTAAGTAATGCGTTACGTTACTTTTTAGTTACTTTTGCGTTACTTTTTCTGACCTGGGCTGGCTGAGGCTTGATCTTTTTCAGAAAATAGAGGAGATTGTGATTAACTCTGTGATTAACAACACACTGTTTAACTTTCATTTAACTTAAAAAAAAAAAAATTTATGTGGGATAATGCGCAGTGCTGCAGTGGGTAGCGCTGTCTTCTCACAGCAAGAAGGTTGCTGGTTCAAGCCTCTGCATTTCTGTGTGGAGTTTGCATGTTCCACCCATGTTGGCGTGGGTTTCCTCCGGGTGCTCCAGTTTCCCCCACAGTCCAAAGACATGTGCTGTAGGCTGTTGGGAATGCTAAATTGTCTGTAGTGTATGCGTGTGAATGAGAGCATATGAGTGTTTCCCAGTGATAGGTTGCAGCTGGAAGAGCATCCGCTGGTTAAAGCATATGCTGGATAAATTGGCGGTTCATTCCATTGTGGCGAGCCCTGATTAATAAAGGGTCTAAGCCGAAAAGAAAATGAATGAATTAAAGCTGAATCGCAGAGGCAGTCACAGGTCTTCTGCCAGGCTGGCTTGTATAGTAAATAAAGCATGGCCATGGCTCCAGACGGCCATTAGCTGATGTTAACAGCTACAGCGGGTGTAGGCAGACTGACCTTTCACTGCTGCACAATTTATGGGCATTGGCTGGCAGATCTCCACAGGAGCGCCTCTAGACTGGCACTCACTGGAGAGAAATAGCAGCCGCAGAGTGACGGCTGGGTCACCTTGAGAAAGTTTCGCTTCTTAGGAAACAGGTGTTATGCTTGCTTATTTTGTCAGCATTACCTGAGGGAACCCAAGACGGTTATTGTTACAGAACTATTTTGTTATGCACATTAGGGTAATCCACAGAGGGTAAGGGTTTAGTGTTATTCCCGTGTGATTTTTCGCTTTCATGCACATGGTTCTTTGCTTTCACAAAGACTCTATTAAACAGGCTAATAGAATTATGATCAGCCAGTATGGGATGCGACTGGAGCATCAATAGGAGTGGGCTTTATATTAATTTAAAATGCATACAATAAAGTTAAAGTGGATTAGAAATGTGAATGAATGGACAAATACGGATATTTGGTCACTTTATATTGTGGCGAATAGGTGATCGGTTATTTTTTGTTTTATTTTTAGGCAGACAGGTAAAAACCTATAACGAAACGTTTATTTTATTGTCACATTTAACTCACTGATGGTCAATACAGTAAGAAAAACGCTGTACAAGAATTATATGATTAATTAGTCCTCACTGCATATATTTTTAATTGTATCTTCAACTAAGTTAATCATGTTCTAACTTCATTTGAAAAGTTAGGAGAGCTGTTTTAAGTCTGTTTTAAGTATATTGAGTTAACTTAATATAAGTTCAATGGACTCACAAGGTTAATTTGATTCATCTTATAAATTTAAGGCAACCAGGATTTTTTACAGTGCAAACATTAGTGGTGATGTCTAATGATGATGAATGTAATGCATAAAATGTGTATTACAGCAGTATAAACGCAAGTCGGATGTGTTCAAATGAGAGAGAACGATGGGTAAGTGGATGCCAATAACTTAAAATTACTTTTGCATATATATTCTCATACATACTACATGCACACAGAACAGTATACATGAGTGCAAGCCTGCACACACACACAAACTCAGTAGGCCAGAGAATTTGTTTAATTTTTGAGGTTATGGATGATGTAATTTGTAATTTTAGGTCAGTTAATTGTAATTTAGGTTTAACTCACATCAATGCTTTAAGGCAACAATATTTTTCTTTGCATTGTAAAAATATTTAGAGAAAAACAAAGAATTAACCAGTGCATCTAAACTTTTACAAATACAATAACACTATAATATAGCTGTGCTTAGGGTTTTTGAACTGCAGTCCCCAGGGGGCCATCGCTATAGGGGCTCTGAGAAAATGTTTGGAAAATTGCAGATTTTTTAAATATTTAGTAAACTATTTAAATGAATTGAAAGTGATTAAAATATAATAAAAAACCTAACTTAAAAAAGTCATTGGGTTAAAATGAGTAAAATAATTAATTGGAAAGTAAGAATGTGATAGATTAGGATAGACTAAAATTTAACAATATTATTTAAAATAATATTTAGACCACTTTAAAATGTTTTCACACGATTAATAATGATGTCCTACTGGGAAATACGTATATTTGTGATTATTAGTTTCAGAACATCACCAATAGGTGGCAGTAGAGACGCTTTATTGTGACGGTGTATTATTAATGTGGTAAAATCACTGATCTTCTAATCTACATTCTTATTATCGTTCATTGTGTAAAACCAGAGCAGTAACTCTTTGACTAAATGACTAAAGGCTCTTTATTGTGTGTAAACATACTGTTTTAATGATACATCATACGCCGTATTAACGTTAATTGTTTCACCATTCATTATACGCCACTATATTATTCGACATTCAATAATTCCATCATCGTCAGCATCATCATCATCTCAAATGGGATCTGTTACCCAGCAACGCGACCTTAAATAAGTAGGCGTGGCTTTCTTCGACAGCCTTGCTGTGATTGGCTGAATCTATAGGTGTGTCGGGAGGTGTGCGCTGTGTGTGTCGCGTCCGTGAGTTTCAATGCTGTCAGAGCGGTTTGACAAGCAGGCTTTGCGGTGAATTTTAAACAGGACCGTCCGAGAAGCAGCACAGCCTCCCTCGCACCGCCGACCTGACCGCTGGCAGTCTCTCAGAGCCCGTGTGTTTCATTCCTGTCCGCATGGCGGCCCGGGATTGGGAGGTAGACGCGCAGCTCTTGTAAACAAAGCGCTTGTGTAACAATTATGATCGTGCTTTATCCGCTTTTATGGCCGTGATTGCAGTACTCGTACGCTTTTAACTGGAGCAGAGTAAACATTCACATCAGAACACATGCCTGATATTGTCACCGCGGGCTTCTCATCGTGTACTCTGATGGCGAAGAATTGCGTTTGCCTTGGGTTTATCAAGATTTTCACTCTTGTTTGAAGCGAAGAGAAACTTTACAGCGTCTGTGTTGCCCTCATACGCACCTTCATGCTCTTGTCTTAAGCTTGCTGATTCAGTCAGCGAGTTGGTTGGTTTGTTGACTAGTTGTCTCGCTGTTACATGGAGTTTTCTGCAGAATAGCATACTTTTGTACAAGTAATAACATAATAATGCACACATTTATGTAACACTTTAAAAAGTGCACGGTTATAATTATGTATTAATGGTTTAGTTAAGTATGACTTTAAAATGAACTGTGTTTGTTTTACTGAAAAACTACTCGAGTCATGGGTTCATGTGTGGAAACTAAATCCAGTGTGTTAATGAATAGCTATTTAAACTGGTCAATGTGTACTAATATGTAGTCAAGGTGGTCATTACTCAAGCAGAAAGTCCTTTACATGCTGCAATTCATCATTGCTTTTTAATTAAGGTATTTTTTCATGATTACCAGTGTTGGGTAAGTTAAATCAAACATGTATTTTTTTATATAAATTACAGGTTTTAATTGCGTAATTTTTATAATTAATATTATATATTAGTATTATTAAGTTTTCAAGTTACAGAGTAGAGTAATTTGATTAATAAATTGGTAACTTGATGATTTTACTATACTCAAAATACATATAAACTTAAGTATAAAGATAAATATCTTATTTTGTATTTGAATCAGCTGTAGACTTGTTTATATTTTGATTAAAGCAATTATAATACCTATACTTTTAATAGCAAACAAATATTTCTTTATTTACCAAATGCAATTAATCAGCAAACTCTTAGAGGAAATAGTTTGCTTTAAAGTTGAACATTATGTTTCTAAACATGAAACTTCAAAAGGCATCGAGATTCATATTTCGAGTCAAGTAGTTATACCCATTTTGTTTGTTGAGCTTTTATCAAAATTGTATTTCTTTAAATAATTCAATTAATTATTTCATAATTGAAGGAATTTCAGTGTCTATTATATAGAAACGGAGAGTGAATCCCACAACTTCACTCTCAAAATATTCTTTAAATGAGTGTTAAAATTTAAAACAACTTTGAAAATGTTTCTGATATAATCAATACTTTTATTTTTTACTATATTTTATACTAATTTTGCCGTTCACTAATACAGTCTTTAAATCAAAAGTTGCATCTTGAAATGACACTATCAAACAGTGAGCAGTAACATTAGCGCTACTTTAAAACATTAATAAACACTGCAACAATTGTATTGAACCTTAATTTGAAATGTTAACAAAACTTTTTAACCCCTCAATGAGCAGTAGCATAAAAATACTTTATTATTAATTTTTAATCATCTTATTTTTGTAGTGAAAGTGTAATTTAGATTGGAAATATTGCTTTAATGTTCAGTTATTGTTTCTATTTTCTAAAAGATTTTGTGAAGAACTTGACCTTGAAGGTCACTGGCCTCTTCCACAACACACTTGTTTATTTCAAATAGAGGTTTTATAGCAAGTCATTTGATCTGCACAGCTATGATCAACATACAGTTGAATGTTTATTAATATTTTATGAACATGTTATATTTAAAATACTATATTAGTTAGTGAATTTATTGTGATTACAATCTGTTTTTGCTTGCTTGATAGTCTTTTACAATTTAGTTTTCAATTATAGGTATTTTATTACATTTTTGCAGCTATTATTATTTATTATTTTTATTTAATATTACTTAATATTTTTATTATTAAGTCTAGTTTTATGGCAGTTTTTGCTATATAATTTGTGTGTGTGTGTGTGTGTGTGTGTTTGTGTGTGTGTGTGTTTGTTTGTGTGTGTGTGTGTGTGTGTGTGTGTGTGTGTGTGTGTGTGTGTGTTTGTGTGTGTGTGTGTGTGTGTGTGTGTGGTGTGTGTGTGTGTGTGTGTGTGTGTGTGCGCGCATGTAGTACTTTTAATACATCAAAGAACAACTAGATGAAACTTTAACGACTAAATAAAAAATAGCTTGAATTAAAAAAAAATCTTACATGTCAGTTTATGTAAACATTTATTTATTTCAAATATTTGTTTAGTCTTATTTACATTAACCCTTGCTGTGCATTTTCAGGGACATGTACATTGTAATATTTAAAAAGTAAAATTCATTTTCACGTAATTTAGACTCGCTCTCACTGTTCTTCATTTAAATTTGATATTTATAATCACCTTAGTGTAACCTTATCAGTTCCTGTACCCTGACATCCTCTGCAAATCAGCCAGAAACTGTAATTTAGCATCAAAGTTCAGCACAGCTTTTGCATGCCACATATCTGTGACTGCAGGCCACATGGACTTGTCTATTCAGTTCTGTTATGTAACTTGCTAAAAGGGTCACACACGTATCTCAAAGCCTCGTGTCATCTTCCGAGCGCCTAACGTCATTGTGTGGACCCTGAGTGGGCTGAGCTTTATCAAATTAATTTATGAATGATATGTTGTGTCTGATAATCACTTACTTAAAGTAATGCAGTCTTTAAGACATCTCATTTAGGTGCTTGAATTAAATAACATTTACTAAAGTCATTCTATATAGAAAGCAGATGGTTTACTTTAATTATAAAACAATTTGTGAAAGTAATATGCCAGAATATACGAAATAATGTAAATCGGCAAATATTTACATAAAAACGAAACATTTTTGATGCTTGAAGACACCTATCATCTGTTATGCAAATACAAAACTATTATAATCTTACGTGATTTTCCACTTTAAATATTCTTAAAGGGATAGTTCACCCAAAATTGTAAAGAAAATTGAAATTTGCTCAGTTTCTGTCTTCCTGTTTAACACAAAGATATGTTGAAAACTAGTAGCCATTGACATTCTTTGTAGGAAACAATACTATGATTCTAGAAGTCAATGGCCAACAGTTTCCAACATTCTTCAAAATATAAGCAACAATATCGAAAGTAAGTGAAAAGTTTAAAAAGCCTTAATTTACATGGCTATCATTATTATTATTATTGTTTTTTTAAATACCAATATTGTGCACTGCAACTCTGTTTCGGCAAAACAAAATCAGGAACACTCAGGAGCCTATCATACACCCAGTGCAATTAGGGTTGTAACGGTATGAATTTTTTACGGTATGATAATCGTCTAAAACAATACCACGGTTTGACGGTTTCGCGGTATACGGTATGTTACAAATGTTAAAAAATAATAGAACAGTGAAGCAAATTTGACTTTTTCCAAATAATATATTTTCAGTTACTATAAACAACACTACTTAAAAAAATAAGAAAATAATAAATAATGTGTCAAAGTCCAAATAAAGTCCAAATAAACATGGTGCAAATCCTCAGTAAAAAAATAGATATAAATATTTACTATACTATAAATAGTTACATAACAAAACTAGATTCAATATGGAACATCCTTAGGTTTTATGTGCCAGCATGGATATGGTTGTCTGTGGATATGGATTTGGATGTGGTTGTCTGCAATGTAGAGAAACAGCTGCACCTTCATTTGCGTCTTTTGAAAACAGCAAGAGCAGCAGTTCGTCTTTGCTATGTCACTGTTTTGTCATGTTTCTGTGCTGCTGTGCATGCAAAAGAACTTAGTATGAGAATTATTTCATGCAAAACTTTTTTTTTGCGTTTTATTTAGCCGCGCATAAATGTACAGCCTATCTCTCATTCCGTGTTGTTCAAAAAGCTCGTTTTTGGTCCACAAACAAAAGCGAAACCTATGCTTATTGGTTGTGATATAGCGAGTTTGAATCAATCTGGGCATGGAGGAGGGACTATGCATCAATGTATCATGTCTGGTTTGTCCGGAGACACAGTGACGAGCGTTTCTTTGTCAAATCAGCGTTGTCAAATTTTGATGACGTAACCGCACTGATTCCGGAGCCTCCGAAGCCGCGAATGTTATGTGATACAGCACTGGAAAGCTGAGATTCTCTTCTTTATGCCAATCTTTGAATTGTATGAATCAGATCAGCGGATCAAAAGTTATTAAACATTTAAGAGCAATACTTATTTTTAGCCGCGGGCGGCTGTCTCTGTCTTTAAGGGTTAAAACCGTTGATATGCAATTGTTCATGGTATGATAATCGTGCACGTTCAAATCGTGGTAGACTGTCATACCGGTATATTGTTACAACCCTAAGTGCAATAAGGCGCTAGACGTGTTTGCCATGATGTGTTGCTTTTTTCCGTCCAATTTTCCCATTTTGTGCCTTGTTTAAATAGCAAATCCATTTGCACCACTTTGTGGACTCATGGGTGTGCTGGTCAAGAAAAGAGGTGTGTTAAGGCGCATTGTTGTCGCATTGCTATTTTGAGGAACTAAAATAGACTGTGCAATAGACCAGCTGAAAGCAGGTCTAAAGTCCAGCGCAGAGCATGTTTGTTGTGTGCCTTAAACGCTTACACATTGCCTTAAACACACAGGATGTACAGCAATACGCAAACATCTTTACAAATGAAAAAGAATAAAGGATTAAAATATGACAAAAATGATTACTTTCTACATATAAAAACCACTACCTCCATGCCTTCATCTCGCGGGGCTTTTTTCAATACGTTTCTTAGTGTGAAAGAGAGAGAGAGAAAGTAAAGAGACCGAACGGAGGAGGCTCATTCTTTATCCTCGAGCTGCAGATGCTCTTTTTAACGGTTTTCTCACTAGTGATGCGTTCAATTTTTCCCCTTACAAAGTCCACCTTGTAAATAGCAAATGAGCCGTGGCGCGACGCAGCTGACTCTTAAAATAAATGGGAGACGAGACTCAATATATATCCAACACAATTAAGTTAACTAAACAGTTATTGTATC